ATGTTGTCTCTGTTTTCATTCGAATAAATAAATAAACGTTCTCTCTATTTTCATCAAAATAAATAAGCAATATTATCTTTTATTTCCATTAAAGATGAAATCGTGTGCTTTCGAAAATGTATGAATAACAACGTTCTCTTCTCGCTTACAATTTCGTCATCAAATTCGTTCAGGATCATCATTTTGTGAGACCGAAAATCCTAGTCTCATTTCCTCTCTCTCTCTTCCCTCTCCCCCTCCATCCTCCCTTCTCCCTCTAGACTTACACCTCGCTTTTATCATCGTGACTTAGCGCGATTTACGATAACTGCCTTATGAATACATGATTTAAGAATTATCGTACATGTGCTTTCTCGTAACACAAGCAAATTGCACGTCGCGGCATCCGCGATCATAAAATCGCGCCATAAAGTCTGTCGCATAAAAACATCAGTATTGCTATATTTTTTATATCCGATCGACCGGCGTTTCTGCGCTCGCGTCGAACACGTTCTAAATTCGTGTATTATTCTGTACAAACATAACGTAAAAATAGCGGCGTAGTCGATAAAATGGTCGACACGTTACCGTCACGCTCAGAGAAAATAACACTTCTGTGATTTTATGTCTCGACGTAGTTTATCTCCCTTGTGAGATTTTTTGAAACGCGTCGTATTTTCGCCGGCGATCACATTAATCGCTGATGTATGTATTTACGCTTCTTCTAACTGCTCGTGTCAATTAGTGTCAATTTTCCCATGTCGTGAATTAGTAGCATCGAGCAAAGTTGGAAATGAAATTTGCAAGTCCCGCGCGAAGTATATAAAGGTGGGGACCAATGCGAAAGTCGATAAGGATAAATTGCGCGCGAACAGCAAACGGCAATTCCAGCGTCACGGCTTCGTTAAATTTAAAATTCCCGAAATTACTTGAGGGCGAAAGGCTGATGAGTCAGGCTTATCAGAAGCGACTCCTTCCTCCAGACTTACGGAAGGAGCATCATTACAAGGCCAGCAGGAGGAAGGGAGAGGAAGGGGCTGCTGAGAATATTCTCTGTAAAAATACATATCCGAGGCGCACTCCATAATACGATAAGAATAATACGAATAAAGTTAACGAACGCCTTATTTGTTCCGCCGAGATGCGCGTTAAATATCTTACTCGTTATTAAGAATTACATTCACGACGTTTAGCTTCCTTAAAACAAAAAGCCGAAACACTCACGGTATCATCAGCGAGACAGCAAACTAAGCGAATTCACATCTTGGTAGAAAAGCCAAATACAGAAAGACAGAAGCCAATCAGAACTCGTGCTAGTGATTCAGTAGTAGTCGACATTTTCTGCTTTTCAATTATCGCAAGTTCTGATTGGCTTCTCTCTGTTGGGTTCTTTTTGTTTTCTGCTTTTCTGCTAAAGTATGAATTCTCCCTAACGATAACGAATATCCATTTATATTTCGTGCACGTTTGCATTAATAACGAAAGAACAATATCCCAAAGGAGACGTCGCGACATCGAGAGACACGAAGTTTCGTTTATCTTGCCGGGAATTTGTAAAATCACGCTCTTCTATTCTTCTATTTTCGCGAACGATGGGCAGCCACGCGGACGAGATGAAGGCGATAGATAAACGAGAAAAAATTCCGCCACCGTTATTTGGGCCGTACAGTAACGTGCAGGATGTGATGGAACCTGCCATATGTTCTATTTTTTCGCGCTTTCACACGGAAGCAATTTTATAGTAAAATTATTATATGATTTTGTAAGGAATAGATCGACATTCTCCAATAACTCATTATTCTTTCATTTCACATCTACTTACTTGAGTAGAAAGTAGAACGATCTTTTTTTTGAAAATTTTCCAGTTTCAGGAACTATGAAATTGAGAGGAATTTATATGAAAAGAAAAGAGTTAAAATATTTTTTTCCGTGCATGGACTAACTGAATCGGATACAATGTCGTCTTTACAGACTCTAAATCATTTCGGAACGTAAGTTATATCCTCCTCTTTTTAATTTCGAATTTTTTCTATTGAATTTTCCAGTCAAGGACAAGTGAAACAGCTGTTTTCTTTCTCTTTTTCTCTCACGCGCGCGGTTCCAGTTAATGTTATTATTCCTTGTTCTTATTTCGTAGCAGACCATTATTCTTTCTTTTATTTCTCGTTATTATTCACCGCGCATACTCGAATTAACCATCGCAACGATGACGACGATGGCGACATCATTTTTCGTCACTGCGGAACTTTCATAGCTTATTGCGGAAGCGGGTGAACTCTGCGCCGACAATTTCGACATTGACCTTCTCTCGGGGGTGGAACGAATACTGGTAGTGGCGCGTTTTCCACGGCAGCAATATTAATTTCCGCCCGTGCGCGCGGGTGTTTTCAAACAAGCGAAATTGGCGAAGATAATAAGGTAGCTCGGCGAGCTCCCGCAGGAGGCACGCTAAAGTCCGTTTGAAAACGGGAATAAAAACCTGTCACCCTGTAAGTGGAAGTATACTCTTTTTCTCCTTCTTTTCCCAGCCCGACAAGTGGTTTACGTTCCGCACGCGTGCACGCCAACATTAAGCTGAGAACGCGCGATACTCGCGAAATTAAGTCGGCAGGTTTAACCGAGTCGAAATTTTACCCCTGCTTCTGACCTTAACTTTCTGATATCTGCATATTCTGAAAGATCAGTATGTGCATTTAATGCATATGAAAACTGAAATCTTACTTAGCACCTCTAGATAACAGAAAACGCACAAAATATCACTTGCAGGTTCTAACAAGAACTTTACAGCAAAACTGGTAGGTTAAGTAGAATCAAAAGAAATTGACACAAGCTTCAAATCAAAGTAGGCGTTAAATGGAATATTGCAATAAAATATAGGACCAATCTTTTGACTCAGATATGCTTAACATACATGGGAATTGAAGTTTTACTTAACGCCCATAAATGCCAGGAAACACATAAAACACTAAATGACAGTTCTAAAGTAACAAAGTTAGTAGATTAAGTGGGCAAAACTCGGTTAAATGATATCTCGACAAAGTTAATAAGTTAAATGGAATCGAAAGAGAGATATGGGTTTAAGAGCAAAATAGACATTAGATGAAATATTGAGATCGAAAGGACCAGTATTTTGACTCGGATACACACGCGAGATACAAAGAATTGTTTATTAAACGCCTGAGTTTGTTAAGCCATTGCTTACAATTCACTTCGCGAATACAATTCGAATCGAATCGATTACGCAAGCTGGGAGATGATCTCTGAATAATTACACATCAATAACAGGCCGGTGGCTTACGCAGAAGATATTAATTAACATCGAATGGAACGTTATTTACGCACAAAAGTGGTGTGATGAAATAGGAAGGTGGAGGAGGGGAAGAGGGCGGACATAATCCGCGGCGTCGCTGACGAATACACCGAATTTGCGCGAACGAAACGCTCTGCAGCGCGTTGTAACGATCGACGTAGTTATGAATTGCAAATGCGCCATTTAACATCGCCGCTCGGCCCGGTCGAAAATTAATGCGCTCGTCGTCGTCCATGATGATCGCGGCGTTTATCCTCGTTTGACCATACCTTTGCGTGTCGGCCGAACTCTTTTTCGGGCTCGCAAACACACATTCATCTCCCACCGGTACTTTCGCGTTTCGTTTGATTAATCGTGAAAAATAAAAGCGGCTCCTAAATCAAACGAAATCCCGATGAAACCATCAGTCACATCGCAATACGCCCGATCGACAATTAAGAGAGCTTTATGTTTCCCAAAAAAAACTTGACAAAGTGAGTGCGTACCTGTTTCTCTTTCCGCGCGAACGCGTGTCTCTCTTTTACATTGAATCGTTCGCGAAAGAATTCAATATATGTACATGTATATTTTATGCTGAAGATTTAAATATACGTGTCCGAAGATCAAAACAATAAGAATATCTAATATTAGGCATATGTTTGGATTGGCATTTTTATTTTAAAAAAGACAAGAAGAAGGAAAACAATCGCGTTGTTTTCTCTCCAGAATGACGAGCGACGTGTCCTTGCGTGCCGTTGCCGCGATAAATTACAGCGTGACGAATAATCGTGGCCTGCAAATAGATGCCGACGACAATAATAACGATATAACGACCCTACGTACAAAAAGTGGGCTTAAGCGTGGGCGTCCCAAGCGTCGGTTGTCCTTCGAGATCCTGGGCGATCGATATCGGAGGCGTCAGGAAGACTGAGCTCCTATGCGTACGAAAATACTGTTGTTTTCGCCCAGATGCTGAATGAATATTGCGCAATATCAGTCGGGTCGGGCTTTCGGAATTTGTGTTACGTTGTCGTCGAGGATTCTGCAATAATCAACAACAGACAAAGCCTGACAGTTCGGAGAAGCGTGTAAATTAATGACGGCGATCAATCTTCAAGTGGTTGAATACATTATCGAAAATGTAAATGTTCGCGCAACGCAAGATCTCGTCGTTTCCCGATAGAGGAAATTGTTATCTCGAAAAAGAGGTGCTCTATTGTGTCCTCGCCCAAAGCGGCTTACCTTAACAATCGCCATATGGAGCTCCCTTATCCACGAATTTCCAAAGAAAAAAGACGGTTAAAGCGAAGGAGTGATAGCTCTGAGAGGTACCCCGGAGAATTAATTTTATTCGACGTCCCGCACCGCGGATCGATCGCGAAATCGTTCTTCGAGATTTACGCTCTCGTTTTGCTCTCTAATTCCGCGCCGGTGCGACTGGCGCCGTCACCGGGAGTCGTTCGTCGATTTATCGCCCGACTTTTATCACTATAACGAGACCGAGTGGCGGGATAAACGTTCTCGTCATTCCGCGAAGGAGTTGAATTGGAAATTTATGCCTGGAAATTTATATAAATTTCCACCACATAATGCATGCATTTTACATCTGTAACAACCAAGTCTTAGCAATGACAGCGAAACAATTAGTCAAGCTAAATCAGACCACTAGAGAATTTAATTAATAATAATAATATTAATTTATTTCCTTTTTGCATGTTTCCTCTCTTTGTAGGCTTCATTATCAGGAACCACGAACAATCTGAGCGCAATTGCAACAGAGAACGCTTGTCCCAGCTGCAGAGATTGGTAAGGATCGGCAAGCTGAACTGTTGTTTACTCTTCGAGGACGACGTTCCGTCCGAACCGCAAATCCCCGATCATCAGCAACATAAGCCATTCAACGGAGTTTGCGTATTACCAAACATGCCGGACGTGGACGCTTTGATCCAAGAGTTCGAGGCGAATTACACGAGCGGACCGCCAATGGCTGAGAAGAAGAGCGCGGCGACAGTCGCGAAAGCCAAGGGTATATTCGTCAAGAAAATCATCGAGATCTACGAGATGAAGAACGGGAAAACTAAGCCGCTGGACGGTCAACAAGCTGACGTGAGACTGACCGTCGAGGATAAACGAAGGCCGAAGGAGGACAGCCTTTTCAGGACCGTCCAGACGTCGAAGAGGGCGGCGGAGACTCAAGAAATTACGGAAAAGCGCGAACTCGCTAATATGACAACGACGGCAAACTCTGTTTCCCGCGAAGTTGACGTGCAAATTGAAATAAACGATGATGACAACGACGACGATGACAACAATGAAGAAAATAACGATCCGGACGATGTTAAGGAAGAGTTGAAGCTGACCGCCGTCGTTCCCAACCTCCACGTTGACACATCTTCTTCCAAGACGGAGAAGAGAAAGATAAAAGAGAAGAACAAAGAGAAAAGTTCGAGAAAGTTGCGGGGGTTTCTTTGCAAGTTCAACAGGAGCGGCTCGAAGCGCGTGACGAAGAGATGCCGACTGGCGTTATCGCAACGGGACGAACGCTGGTGCACGAAGAGAAGCGGTCGAATCTTCCTCGAGCCCGAGTTGAGCAAGGAGTTCGTATCAAAGTGCGATAGCGCGGTTAACGCGAAATCTCCAAGCGGAGGTAATTCGCGCAACGAAGACGGCCACGACGTCTTGAGTGTCACGGAGTCGCAGGATGACTCCGGCAATAGCTATAAAAACCTGCAGGTCAACATGTTCGACTTCGAGGACGAAGGTCCGTGGTACGAGACGCGGGATTCCGAGAGTGACGACGACTCGTTGAGCGTAAAGAGCGTCGATCAATTTTTGCCGAGTCTTGATCGACGGTATAACTCCGACGAAACCGCCGACGAGGCGACTTATCTCGCCAGCTCGTCCTTCGAGGACGAGAACAACACGAGTGCTCGAGTGAACGGCTACGATGAGAGCACAGAAATGAGTACGGGACTGTCTGCCTTCGCCGACGAATCCGCTAAGGATTGTCTGGGGCAGTCGACTAAGACAAAGAATGGGTCCCCCAATCTGGGATCGAAACTGCAGCAAATTTTTGCGAAGGAAAGACTGAAGAAAATTCTATCGCTGTTCAATACGAAGCGATATTTCAAGAAGAAGAGTGCCATCGACAAGACGAAGTACAACTGGCAATTGCTGCAGAAATCGCAGCAGCCGACGTTGAGCCCGGACTCGGGTTTCGACGAGCCGTCCGTTTCCCTGATTTCTTCCAGCACCTTACCGACCTCCTTGTTCCTGTCGGAGAAGTCCACGTGCAACAATTATCCCGAGCCAACGTTGTCTTTCAGGACTTTCCGCCCGCGAGATTCTCTTCCTCGCGAAGGTATTAGCAAGAGCAAGCGTCGTCTGGTGCTGAACGAATTGTCTCATGAGGAGCTTGCGAACGTACAGGATGAGTCCTCCTATATCATCCCGGACGCACAGACGAAGACTTCGTACGGCGATCTCTTTCCTGTGAGCTCCAGCCCTTCGTACAAGGGCAGCACAAGCACCGCGAGCTCGCCGAGGTCGAAAGTTTCTTCTTCGCTGTTTCTCAAGTATTCCTACCTGTCGCAGAAAATTCCCAGGAGCACTTTCCTCTCACTGACGAGGGTGGACGAATTGGGCAAAGAACTGAACGAGCAGCTCGACGTGAGTGAGCTGCGACCTGAATACAGCGCGTCGTTGAATCTCTTGAACGGATGGATGTCGTCGTCTCCATATCAAGTTTGCAAGGAACCAAGGTAATCGCAATGATAAATCATTAATTGAGATGTTCTGTAAAATAAAGACGAAGTCACCTTGATTTCTTATAAAAAACATGTAAAATATCCTTATAAGAGAGAAATATTAGTTTTCAACGTTTGGAAGACAGAGAAAAGCAAGTTTGCCATTAAGATACATAAATATATAAAAATACAGAATTTATAACTCAATTACGACTAAATTAATGTAAGCTGAGAAATGAGTTTTTCTTTGAAGAGTCTTCTTCCAAAACTATAATAATATCAACAGACTAGCTGAAACTACTCAGTACTGTTTGGGTTATCACAAAGTGTCAAAGGGATGAAATCGGGGAGAGAAGGTGAAGTGTCAAGGTTTTATGTAGCCTATATTTTCTGTATGAACGTAGAGAATAACTATACAACATTTGGTTCAAATTGGTTAAAGAGTTTAGGAGTATGTAGGAGACAGACAGAAACAGACATATATATATATATATATATATATATATATATATATATATATATATATATATATATGTATGTATGTATGTATGTATGTATGTATGTATGTATGTATATAGATGTAGATGTGAAATATCAATCTATGCAATGTCTATGATGAATAATGGTCTTGTCCTTATTGTATAAAATACTTCAATTATAATAGATATAAACATGTCTTTAAAATGGATTGACTACTAAACGTCCGTATGTGCATTCGCATTAGTATTATCAGTATAAAGTGGATAATTTTTATACCCGGGTATCTAAATTCACGGGTGATAATCGGGTGATAATCTGGGATGAAAAATTGCGGATAGTCCTCGAGTAATATCCATCTAATCCGTCTATTATCAATTCTCTCAGCTATTAATTTCGCATTGGTTGATTTTGTTCCCTGCTTTTCTAAAGTATCGGGAAATATGCGAAGAGCCCGGAGTATCCGAGATATTCACCTCGCTAATTCGCAGGTGGAGGTCGACACCCACGCTCGCCAGTTTCGCCAAGGAATCGCCCTGCTACTTTTACGAGCCAATCGGCCGTGGGAAGGTCTACCACGTTTACAGCGGCGCGAAGAGGAACGTCCCGATTTTCGGCACGGGCTCCCTGAGCAACATCACCGGCTCGAGCTGCTTCGCCACCGTGAAACCGAGGAATTGGAGACCCTACATGCGCCTCGAGGAATCACGATCGTTCGAGGAGGCCGATGGTATCAAAAGGTGCAGCTCTATGTGAAAGATGATGCACCGGTTGAATTACGCTTGGAAAGACCGATAAGTTCATAGTAGCGCATTCGAGTCGCGGTTTAATTAAACTTCGCCGTTCAGCCGCACTGCGCCGGAGATAGCGCTAATGCCCACTCGTAGTTAATTAACTGGTGGGCAATTTAATTTGCTGAGAAAAAACATAAGTCGGGGTAGTGATAAATCTGCAAAATTAGCGAAAGCGTGCGAAGACGTGCGAGATGTCCGCGTGGGTCCCGAATATTCAATTGTAACATTAATACGTCGCATCGCACGTGTAAATAAATGCTGTTTGTAGTTATCAAATGTCTATCGTGTATTATCGAGAGACTCCAGCGACATTGACGTAAATCGCCTCGCTTTTGCCATGGAGCGCTCGTCGCGAATGATGATCGAAATTCACGCTTGATGCTTTTCGCAGATTATAATGCATTTACGATCGCTTGCGCGACTAAGGGCCGTGATTGAAGTCTGTGATTAAAGTTCGTGATCGGAGCGACTATTTCCTCCGTTCGGCTTTAGAGGAGCGGCCAAGTGTGCGCGGTAACTCAGGCTGCGTTTCGTTTCCACGCATAATGCGCATGAAGCGCAGCGTTAGAGTGACAGAGATACGAAAGTAAGATAAAATGAGAGGGAGAGCACTCGGGTGAGTTTCTCGAACCTAGGTTAGGTTAGTTCTCGAACGCATGAACTGCCTCAGCTCCGAGTGCAGTCCATGCGATCTCATGCGTTCGAGAACTAACCTAATCTAGGTTCGACAACCTCTCCCTCTCTTTTTATCTTACTCTCGTGTCTCTGTCACTCTAACGCTGCGTTTCATGCGCATCATGCGTGGAAACGGAACGCACCCTCAGACACAATGACACTCAGACACTCTGATATCGTGCACAATGCATGATAGGCGGTATCTTGAAAACATCCAAAAGATTTCGCTTGAATGTCTTTTGGATATTTCCGATACGTCTTTCAGTCGTTTGTGCCGCCTGAGTATCGATATCAATCGTCCTTGCGAATCTCGCGATACTATTTCGTATAATACGCCGCGATCATTTCCAGTCCGGTCAAATCAAGGCTTCTCTCAACTGACAGTGGCGTTTCTTGATTGTCGCAAGACCGGACGCGTTCTTGTGGAAACTTATTTAAGATTTTCACTTGACTCTGTACACTCACCTTTTTTTTCGCTCTCTCCAGCGCACGTTTGCAGAACTCGGCGTCATTTGCGAACAGCTCCATTCACTTTTCTCGCCGATACAACCGACAGCTTCCACTTCGCGACGGGTTTGATAATGATCGCAAAGGAATCTCGTTCGTTTCTCGCGAAATGACACGAAGATTCGCCCGGTATATCTCTTTACACACATGTACACACACGTACACAGGACGGAGGGTCGCGAAGCGAAAGCAGTAAAGGGCGATATCACGTAGCGTACATACCTAGTATTGACGAAGATGCACTTTTCGAGTCTCTCGTATTTCTTTCGGAAATATCGGGGAAGATCTCGAATTGCGTCGAGAGAACAGAGCTTTACACCGGAGCGATTTTACAGCCCTTGACTTCCCGGAAGCTGTCGATATCGTAGCTTAAGTGCAGAGCAAGTCAACCGATGCGGCGAGATACGCGCGCCTGTAATTGACTACACACATTAAGAGGGCACACGAAGAGTCTTCTTTTCTTCTCATGACGATCTATTTAATGTGTGAATTATACATACTTTTACATGCGGACTGATGTACATGTACATATATACACACACTCACACATAAATATTGCACAAGCATTCACCAAACTCACTTTGTCTTTTTTTCGTTAAACACAGAAATCTCTCGCTGGATTTTAAACGCAGTCGCAGTCACGACGGCGTTGTCGCTTTGGCGAACATCCCGTGAATCCTGCAAATCCTCATCCCCGGCGTCTCAGTCAGTTGCTGTTGGCAGCAAGTGCATAAATATTTCTTTAAGCCTAGATCGTCTAGTCGTCGAGCGTTCCGAACGCGACAGATTGCCACGGCGGATCGCAATGTTTGACGTGTAAACGTTTCCGCTTGCTTCCCAGACGAGAGGAGCGAGAATTTACTTGTCTTGTCAACCCTGAACAGAATTACGTGCCGGGCCGTTTTCATAAAAGTTCCGCTATCTTCCGGTAAATATTTCGTTTTGGTGGAAAACCGCTAATGAAAACTTGAACTTCCCGGCGCGGGCAAATATTTACCGTTTCGCTTCTGCTTCTTTCTCGGCAAATAATAGACCGGAGGTCGCCAATTATGATTCCAACTTCCGCGCCGGGGTTTCCCTCGCGAAACGACGGACGTTCGCGCGGATAAGGGTCTTTTCTCAACGCCCGCGCTCATAAACGGTAGCTAGCTTAACGTGCTGAGGAACGCATCGGCGATGATAACAACGTCGACGAAAGTGGAAGTTTCGTCGCCTGCGTGCGACGCGACGAAATCGGCGCAAATTTATGCGTGACGGCCTGATGTTAGTCAATTTGCATGAAACTCGCGCTTGGCCACTCAGCACGGTAACAGCCGGCGACAAAGATCGTTCGGTTATGGGCGGGCGTACACGGACAGAGAGCGAACACGGGCTGAAGATAGAGAAAGATAGAGCTGGAGTGCGAGAGAGAGAGACAGAGAGAGAGAGAGAGGGGAAGTGCGAGTGTACGTGTTTGCGGGCGGGACTCTTCGCCGCGCAGTGTTGCAATGCAGTGGAAATTGTACGTAACGATGTACCGGCGAGCATTATCGTCGCGCGGTGCAAAATTGCCGTGGAATCTCCCCTAGAGTAGCAACAACAGGCACCAGCAGCTACAAACTATTCCTCTCAAGGAGAAGAGTCTCTCTCTCTACCTTCTTCCTCTCCCTCTCTCTCTTCCTCCCTCCCTCCCACCCTCTCTCTCTCTCTCTCTCTCTCTCTCTCTCTCTCTCTCTCGCTCACGAGTTTTCCTTATACACGACAAGACTTACCGCACGAATCATGCTCGCTCCCTTAATCCTTCGACGACACCCACGTTTATCCTGCGAGGTTCATCACGACTCATAGCAACGTGCTTGAGGAGATGCTTGGTTTAAGAGGCTAAAGCCGTCGAGGCTAAACCTATCGTTGTAATTATCGATCTTCGATAATTACGGTTATCGAGGAACCTCCTCTACGCGTCTTTCTTTCCTCTTTTCTTCTTTTAACACGTCCTCCGCGATACAATGTTGGGTCTCTGTGAGAGCCGAGTAAATCAGCCTTCATAAAACGTCCTCGGGAAAATGTCGAAGCAATGCAAATTCGCTCGTAGTTTCCTATTTGATTGCGGTACTGTCTTATAGTTGGAACTTTTTTATATTTTTGATAAAAGAGAAATGTGTCTAAAAAGGTTGATTTTTCAACGAAATATCAATATCATATGTCAGTCCAAAGTTGGCCGGATCTGACAAATCAAAATTATACTGCAAAAAATATAAAATTATGTCCCAAAAATTTTGATTGCACGCGAAAAGTTAATGCAATACAGGAATAATATTGGAGAGGTATCGCTCGCGTATATATATATATATATATATATATATATATATATATATATATATATATATATATATATATATATCTCTCTCTCTCTCTCTCTC